CACGTAGAGCAGGAAAAGATCACTCAATACGCAGCAATAGCATACATCAAGCTCCCTGTATTTGATAACCAGACCATATAATCTCATTAACGAAAATCGAGTAGGCATTAGCAGTTGTACATCACCCCCTTGTAAGAACTGGGTACTTCTGTAGCACAACAGCGCGTAAGAAACCGAAGTAAAGGTAACCTGCAACTTGTGCTATCAGAATTAGACTTCATTCAGGTACTCCCACGACCTGGCGCGAATCATAAGCTTTGCTTTTCGGGGACGAGCCAGGCGAGGAAATTAGCCCAGTGATACGAGAGCAATCAATTTCAACAAAAAGCATTCAAAGCTCCGTGCCTCGCCGTGGAAACCCAGACGTTGAACCGAACAAGACCATCATACTACATATTTTCATGCTAACCCGAGCGCACAACTAGACCTGAGAGCTCGATCAGAACTAGAGTAAACCGTCCAGGATTTGTGTACAGCCGAGCATGCAACAAAAACCATGGGTCGTGTGATAGTCATCACCATCGTAGTGAGAGGAACCTCACTGATGCCGTCGAAAACTCAGTGCATACACTGTTAATAAGGTGGAAAACGATCGACCGTTTAGAGAAAGAAGCGAAACTCCATGGTCATCACAGAGTATTGAATATAACAGGCATCTTGGACCAATTTGAAGTAACAAGGACGTCATTGCGATCGGCTCGCTGTAATGTTACTGTTTCCAACCAACCCAGTGGTCCTGTGGACGCCAACCGGGGATGAATACGACGCCTACCCTACCTAATAACTGCAATTATTCACGCCTAGTTTCAATATGTGCTCAAACGTCAACTCCGTCCGAATTCGATCTGAAAAGATTCCCAACAATCACAAGACGTCATTGTGACGAAATACCTAGTTCGTTAACTCAGTGCACACAATAAGTGAGGGTGCCAAACGCTTGAGCGGGGAAAACCGCATTTCACGCGCAGTAGGCTGCGAAGCAAAAGCATCCAGAAACTCTATTTTCAAACCAAACGAAAAAACAGAAACCATAACGGGGTTGTTGCATGCAAAACTGGAAATCGAACATACCCTTTAGTTCTGGGACTGAAGATAGAAATGAAGAAAGCATATCAATCGCATGCTGACAAGAACAATAAAGCACAATGGCCGCGGGAACGAGTCCAGTGACCCCGAAAGGCAACCCGGACGTGGATCAAACCTGACGTACGAATCCTGCAGTAACTGTGTTCACGAGTATAATAGTTGGTTGACGACCACCATGTGACGTGCATGCAAAAGTTACGAATCTGTCTACGCTACTGACATAGCCCAGAGGGCACAAACTATCAACTGCACTTCAACTTTTGCTTTTGTAACGGAATACCGGATATTATGAAGGCCTAATATTGACTGAAGAACGATTAAACCCCTAGTGGTGGACCCCGTCTATTTAGGTAATCGTAAAATTAACACCAAACTAATTCAACAAGCAATGGTCATAACCCCAATAAAACGATTACAGTTGGAAGTCTTTCTAAGTAACAAGAAGTGAATTTCATTTATTTAGATACATTTGTATTGAACTTCAACATAAACAGTTCAGACAATACTACACAGAAGCAGTTTGAAAAGTTATGCACATTTTACCGAGTTTATATAGTTGATTCACGTGGACGAAAAATGCACGTCTGGCTCCGTCATTTATCTTGTTTATTGAATTATTTCGACATCGATGTTGAGTTTTCATAGCCAGTTTAGGTAGTTAACTACCAACGACTATTGCTGATCAGTTTTCATTCCAGGACGAGCGTAGGGATGCGCACGACCGCGGCCACGAGCGTCAGTTAGACCAACTTTTCCCCATGAATCGTCTTGTCCTAGGTTGGAAATTTAAACCTCCATTAATGTCACGTGATTTTGGGGAGACTACATAAATTGAACATGCGCAGGGCACTCACCATAACTGGCACCGAAATCTTCATACACGTTAGCACTGTAATCGGTTTGATCGTACACTGGCATGGTGGGATAAACAGTGGGTTGTGCTCCATTTCCGTAAGCTTCTTGAACTACAGGAGCCGGAGGAGGAGGAGGGGGAATTACGGGAGTACCGTTGGCAGCTGCTCCGCGGTTTATCCATGGCTTTCCACGCCCGCGGAAGGACGGTGAACCAGCTGTCGGAACAAAGCCACCACGAGGGTGAGGAGAACGACCACCGCGCATTGGCCCTCCGCCTCTAGGATTCATCATCGAAGGTGAGCCACCCGGAACCCATGGTGGGGGCGGAAACTCTGTAGACTCCTGTCAGAAATAAGTTGAGCCGCAAGGAAAAACTAACCGGAAGCATGATTTTTCTGAGTTCGGCAAGGGCATGGGATAACCTATAATATGCCTCTGCTGGAGGTGCGAGACTATCCACTTGCAAATGTAACTTCTGCTTCAGATGCTGATACTTAGGGTCACCATTGGATAGAAGCTCACGCTCTTTCGCCTCGTCGCGCAAAGACCCGGCACCTAGAATGGCCATTTTTGTCTTGGTACTTTCTTGAACAGCTCGTAAAGTAGAACCTCCGGGTCCCAGAAGTTTGCCAACAAAATTAAAATTAGGGTATTGCGTCTGAGGGATGTCGATTTTGACACGTATCTTCACCTGCCGATTAGAAACCAAATCAATCGACTCCGCAATGCCTCCTCGTAAACGGAAGAGCTCTGAGGAAGTCAAAAGGAACGAAATAACACATACCATTTTCTGCAAGAGCATGAAGTGCTGGAAAAGCAGTCTCGTCTAAATTTTTCAATTCTCGGACAATCGCTTCAACGGTAGCCGACTGCTCAGGCCGCGGTTCACCGATCTTCATCTTGTTGCAGGTTGGAGCGGAAAATGTCCGAGCGCATTAAAACAAACAAGACAGAACCACGGAAAACAATGGAGGCTAAGTGACCTACTCCATGAAATTATTATATTTTCGAGATAATTATCGATCGCAAAAGGCCTAAATGAGACCTCTAATAAAACGTTTAAGGCTGAATTCAGATTTTCTGGAAATTTCACCGAATCAGGGCCCACAACTAAAAAACACATAAAGAGATGCTCAGACGATTGGTGTTGCAGATAGCTTTATTTGTATGCTGTTACAATTACTTAGAAAAAGTTGACCATGCTCAAAGACGGTCGGCAATGGAATCGTAGGTGAGTTGCTCTACTGTAATCAGTTTCACCTTCAGCGCAGTTTGTGCCCAGGACCATGACGGTAATTCCCGGACTGCCCAGGTTCCTGCACAAGTGAGCTCCTTGGATCCCCCCCCCCCATGTGCTGCGACAATAGGACGGTTTTGTTCACTGGTTTACCCATACTTGTTGGTTTCATCGTGGTCCTAACCTTGGAATTATACGCTTTATTAGCGATTCTTCAACCGACAGCTTCGCAACAGCAGTTTCCTGGTAGATCCATTCAAGCTGGATGTTATCATCATCATCTTACGCTGGTATGACGAGCAGCATGACAGGTTCAGTTTCCAACCATTCGTGTGTAATTGAGGAATATCAGGAAACGGTTACGTAACCACGGAATACTAACGTAATGATTGTAGTAGCAGTAGTAGTACGCATGAGATTCGGAATACAAACCACGCAATAGGAATCACCGAACACGAGTCAAGGACAAGTTTCCACGGACTGGATTACAGAAGCACTGGACCGCAATGGCACGAGCTCGAAATATCCCAGGTGAACGAGACGCGAGGAAAAAGCCACACGAATAGTAGTACGCAGTTTATTTATTGAAATAAATGAGAGCAATTAAACAATATGTACAAAACAGGATCATTGGTTATCTAGGCTTCCACCAATCGAATTTCAATACTGCTTGCATAATGTTGCTTCTGTCTGCATTGCCTTGGATTGGTTGGCACAATCTGCCTATGGTGTGTAGTCAGAAGCCGTACGTGTGTCATTGACGTTGGAATTCAAATTTGAGTGACCGCATGTGTCCGAAAACTGTGACGCGCCGCTACAGAGCAGGCGTCATCTCGTAGGCCTGAATTATCACAACTTATCAGATTCATCAAGGTTCAGATATCAAGTAGCAACTTAGGCCCTCGATTAAATCCAATGTTAGATCACCGTTAGTCTTTTCCTTCTCACATAAGAATCCTTCTCCAGCAGCACAATCAAGCGTAGTGTCCAGATTTAGTGATCTTCCAGGGGAAGTATTTTCTATTAGGTATAGCCATTAGGGCATTGCCGGGATTAAGTTTTGCTTTAGCACTTATTGTGCTTTTAATGAGCTCTCAAAGACCGCACTGGTACAGTTCTCCACGATGAACTCTGTATGGCGCGTTTCCCTTGCCCTGGTCGGATCTATTTTCAGATTTCTGCCGTTGCTGTCGTTTGCTAAAATACCAGCCTAGGCTCGACAAAAATTCGGAAGTTTCAGTATTCATTGTCTCCATAATCCTAATTCGTGGTTCTGGTCCTTCCCGGGACTGGTATCCACAAAAAATGTGAGCAAATATCAGTGACAGGTTCTAACGAAAATCAGCAACCACATTATCACGAAACTGGTGAGCCCGCATACAAGTCTCTCACTTCTGTTTGGAAATCATCAGCTTTGGGTGAGTTCGTTCCCTATTTTTGAAATTCTTAAACCTTTTTCTATTCGAATGGAAGATTTAGCGATTTATTTCTGTTCTTTCACTTTACCATTATCGCTATCTAAACTTCAAATTTTTTGATGGAATCAATTGGGATTGCATATTGTTTATACGATTATTCATTGCTTCTTCGTTATTGATTTTTTGGATTTGTCCGATGACATTTCTCTCGTGGGGGTCGCCACTTTTCAACCTCTCTTTTTGGTATCTAACCCCAGGGCGTAGTTCGCAGTCCTAGAATCACAGTGTGCAACAAAAACAAAAGTCCACCATGTCGTCTTTTCGGTACCAGAACACCCGGTAGCAGAGGTTTTGGACGTAGTTTTAGAACCTCCCAAAGATGGGCTTTCCGAAGCCTTACGAGACACTATACTAGAACGCACAGGATTCTCTAACAGAGGACGTTCTGACGCATTCTCCAGGACATACCTGTAGCCGTAAACAGTCACGGCTTCGGAGGCTCAAGTGAAACGAAATAGACAGCACCTTACACGTTCGCTTCCGTTCCGCACAATGTGGCCAGCCGCGCTGCATCCACGAACATATCTGTAATGATAATGGAAGTATTAGTAGTGAAGTTACGCACAGAATTCCGGACACGAACCACGCAATGGGAATCACGGAACACGAATTAGAAAACCGATGGCACTGGACCGCAATG